CCAGTTGCCTAAGCTTAGACAGCGGAAGTCGAGAGGCCGAGGTCGGGTTCGAACCTCCCGGTCAGTAACGTAGCCCTCTAGTCACTAAGCCATTTCGCCCCTATGACTGAAGTATGAATCATTCATTGATTTGTGGGGTTCGATATTTTGATTACAGTCGCTTCCTCTCAAGGTAGCTTATGCAGTAGGTTGCCTTTTAGCCCACAAATCTGGCTTCTGTAGGCCAGTGTGTTTTTGGTGTCTGTCTTCATGCAGCTCGTGTCTTTCGACCGACAAATTCGTTAGCCTGCGTCACTCACTGAGATCTATTACACCAAACGCGGAGTACTCCTAGTTTTTGAGTTCTTCCAACCCCATAATTTATGAATTACACAATTCCTGTCTGGTTTTGTGTCCCAAAGGATCTCTGTTGAATGACTGTGTCAACTGTGTGGAACCACACCTGCTTTGTGTCCGAGTTTATTTATTATTGAAAGCTATTCTTCAAGTGATCGGGGGGACACTAGTCACGCGTCACTTTTATTTCAGGACTGATAGACACTGGGTTGGCCAGCTGTTTTTGTCTCAGTAAGTCCTAAAAAACACTCATTCGATGCAACCTCCCGGCACCAGCCTTATCGATCGGTTATTTTTTTAAATTCGACAACTCATCCGTGAGTCACCGCTATCTGAGTTTTATCTTTAACTGAAAATAAATCAGGAGTGAATAAGCACTGAAAGAAGAAGAATGGAAACGAAATATCTACTTTGGAAGGAAAGGATTTTCGTGTACAAACAGAGAAAAACCGATGTGTGCAGGAATCCCCTGACAGATGCGGTAACTCACCTCGATTGTCAGTGGGCCTATTGCGATCGCTGCATACCACACTAAAACAGAATGTTTTGACAGATTGGATGGGTAAATGGCGGTCAGATCTAAGATGGGACGAATGGAGCCGGCCGGAAAGTTCACCGAAATGGAGCATGAATCTGAATGGCCGTCGTTTTGTGAGCGCTTATCAATATATACACGTAAAGACTTGACATTCAAATCAAGCTATAATTAGCACAGAGGGAGAATAATTTCACAAATTGAGTGAACCTCCATTCGAGAAGTCATTACTCAGGGAGCCAGTAAACAAGCGTGACCATGACATATGGTTTCTCCGATTGAATGGTGATCGTTACCCAAGCAGCCAGTCAACAGGCGTGACCAAGTCACGTGGTTTCCCGATTGAATGGTGAGCAGTACTCAAGGAGCCAGTCAACAACTGTGATCATGTGATGTGGCTTCCGCGGCTGAAGAATGTGCGGCGCCATATTGTGTCTGAGTGAGACCTAATCACACTGTTGATCAGCCACTGGTGGTCAAACGGTTTTAAACCGCTGCCTAGAGGGTTCGAAACCTTTGTATCTCGTTAGATATGCTCTGCGGATGATTCCAAATGAGGGTGGAACAGCTGCATTCTCTCGGCTTTCCAGCACAAATTGGCCCCATTAACAGAACGAAACCTCTGTTACATGGAACTTTTCTCGAGATATCTGCCTCCTAGTTCAGTATTTAGTGTGCCTGGGCTTGTTTTTCCAGTAGCTGTCTTTATTAACCATCGAGGATAACTTTGAGAAAATTTGTCACTCATTGGGAACATGATACAGTGCAAATCGCATAGAGAGCTTTAGTAACCCACCACTTGGTACAGTCATCGATAGAGAAGATCAGTACAATAAATAAGCTAACCGAATATTGGAAGACCACCACTGTAGTTCTGATGATGAGATCGCACTTTACCTCAGTCAGGATATCCTCATTTCGATGTTCTGATTCTCGATAAAACTGTAACTAATTATTACACTTCTTTGTGTCTGAGGAGCTTCAAGATGGCGTACATCTTTGAGACAATCGATTTCAATCTAACTCATTACTCAAGTCCAATTCAAGATGAGTCTGCTCATAAACCTGGTCAAGAAAATAACGAGGAGCTTGACTCATCTACCTCTAGAGGTGGAAAGGCATATGATCACCCCATCATCATCATCATCATCATCGTCATCGACAGCAGGACATCAGTGTTCAACACCGACTACTCGTTGCCATATTATGTGCAGTTCATGGTTGTACGAGGGCTGGGATACTGCCATGTCGCCCACACCTAGACGGGAGGACGATTAGGGTCCTCAACTAAAGTCTTTGGCTCAAAAGCCTAACCGCAAGGCAGCGGTGTTTGGCGGGAAATGCAATTGTGCTGTCATTTCTACGGAACAAGTCGCTACATGTTCCATCACCAACCTGGAGAACCAGGGGATTGTGTTCGTCATGCATCTAACCCCTGACCAACCTGGTATGAGAGACTGAGTGTCGGGTGACACCCCTCAGTATAATTCCATTGGTCGCTGAGGTTCGCAAACTGTCACACTACGGTAAGGTCCAGTCTCTTCGTGACGGAGGGCCAGGTTACGATCCATGAATTCCATTCTCATGAAAGTTGTTAATAAATGTGTTTATTGGTCAACAAAACTCTCATCATTACTTGACGCACAATATGCCAGGCCTCAGTTCCTCCTTGTTCTGATTGAGACGTAATTCTTTTGCAAATTAAACGCTGACAAGCTTAACGCGTGGCAAACGACCTTGTGGATTGGTGCTATTCATTTGCATGATTGGATTCCACCCATGGACTTGGATAAATTTTCTAGATGAAGCCCCCTATTTTGAAAGTGAATTACGATTTTCATAAAGGAAACTACTCACAAGGTTGCTGAAAACTCTTCGGTAACCTTATGAAAATATACTGCGATATCTCGGATATCGTGCCTGCATGCAGCACATTCAGTTGTAGAATAACCTGAACGCGAGTCTCTCATGAAAACCAAATTGCTTTGCAAATGAGTTTAGTTCCTGAATTTCGATTTATTTGCCACTTCCGCTTGGTTTCCACTAGTGATTAGAATAACAACGACTGTTCCCTAACTGTAACTCTGATCTGTTTCCATCTGATATTTAAAGAAAAGACGAACACTAGGAGAAACACCGATATTCCTCAACTGCTTTTGCATCAAAGACACTTAGATGATATCTAGACGTAACCCACCAATCACAAGATTTCTGAAACTTCCTCGATGATCCACGGCTGGTTTCGTCCTTCCTGTACGGGCCCATCAGATATAAGCAAAGATGCCGAGTCGCCGTCAAACTTGTGTACTAGTTAAACCGAGACTGGACAGATTTTGACAAGTACTCTCATTCGCACACGAATTTGCATTTGGCACGTGACTTTGCTGAAGCGGAGAGATTCACCTCTGGGGTCAGCTGAGTCGCCTGTCGAATTCGCGAGAAATTGAGGGCATTTGTAGACATTTAGATGATATTTCACTCGTGACAAACAGTTAAGAAGAGGTTGAACACCTGATTTCTCTTCTGTTTTCGACATTCTTCAAGGGAACCCTTTATTCACCTGTAACTTTGAGAAGGACAACAAGCTTACCATGTTGCACGTTTTGGTCACCAGAAATACCGAAGCTACTCTATCTCGCTGTGCATATCGAAAACCTAGGCGAACTGGACAGTGTCTGAACTCGACAAGTTTCTGTCCGCTACGATACAAACATGCGTTAGTGCTGACTTTATTCCACAAGGCTAGACAGATTTTCACCTCGGATAGGCTCGGGAGGGGGAGGGGCTCTACTGAATCATTAAAAGATGTTCGGCGACTAAATAACTGTCCCGACCGATCTATCAAGAAGCAGCTGACTCCGAGTTATGGATAGAAAGTGTCAGTCACGATGGTTTTACACTAGTGGTACTGCTTTCCGTCTATTCACACACTGCATTCGCAATGCAACACACTGCTTTGTTTTCTATAGAGGAGAATGCCGGTAGCTCAGGTGGCGTAGATGGTCGTTGGCTTGTTCGCTGAGCTGGGCAATTTGGTTGCAAACGTTTCATCACCAATCGAAGTGACATCATCAGTGCGTAGTTGTGCGTAGCGGTGGGCTAGCCCAGCTCAGCGAACAAGCCAACGAACACTGCTTTGTAGAAGCGTGCACACGGAATATGTCAACGCGGCCATTTAAACTGCCGAATTGTGGTTCATCTGCAACACATTGCGCGCAACTACGGCCAAACTGACAGGAGACTTGAAATGCGAGCAAAGAAGCACGAGGCAAGGCTGATCAAGCCTAGGATCAACTCATCGACTGGTGGGTGTCCAATCGATGCAGGTCACATGAGTGAACTTAAATCATCTTTCCAGTTTTTGGCAGCAAGATGTGGGCCAGATTGTTAAATGTTCCTTGCGACCATACTGACTGCATGTTTTTGTGTTTCCTCTTGGCACAGAAAGATCCAAGGGTTACCATGAAACTGCCTTCGGTCAGCTCGTTTTAGAATGCAATGCATGTTGTAAGCTGCATTGAGTCCCTGAATCTCAAGGGGCGTGTGTATCTGGCTGGGAGACTTGGCCTATGCGAGCAGCGGAACTGAGACGTCTTCAGGTGTTCAACAGTCGTTGTCTCAGAACCATAGCTCGTGTGCGTTGGTGTCCGCGTATCTGTAACAAATTAATTAGAAGGCGAGTTTTTTTTTGTGGAATGGGTACCTCCATTGAAAATTGTGTCCAGCACCAGGAGCTGCGCTGGTTTGGACATGTGTTGCGTATGCCGAACCATCGTTTGCCTAAGAGAGTGTTGTTTTCCATGCCCAACGCAGACTGGCGTAAACAGAGAGGTGGGCAACCTTTGACTTGGCAGAGGAGTATGAAGGAGATCACGAAACGCTTGGGTGCTGTCGGTGCTACTCGCCTTCCAGGATGGGGACTGCGTGATCCTCACTGTGCCTGGTTGGAGACACTACAAGATACGGCTGCCAACCGATGTCAGTGGCGTTATTGTTGTCAGTTTCTATCCAGATTGCCTGAGTGAATGTCTGGAGGTGTAGGCACCTCGGAATGATTGTGTTAAGCTAGCACTAAGTCCCTCCCCCATCCACCTTTATTCTTTTCTTTACAATAATGCTTTCAACTAAGTCATGTTTGTACGGCAGTGAAGCATCGGTGTTGAACACTAATATCATTCTCTCGATGATGATGATGACTGCATTGTGTTACATGCCGTATGCTGTTCCACACATATGGAGGTGAAAAAGAGTGTATGAATTGATTTTCTTCCACAAAAATATTCTCATTGGCTTGTTTCAAAGCGGTGGATAGCAAACTGACACCTGCCCAGATGAAACAAACCAGTCTGCAAGTTGCTGATTCTCTTTCAGTAGTTTTGGTCGAAGTAAAACTATTTTCAGCTACCTTAAGTGTAGTATGTACGGTCTAAAATCAGGCCTGAGATGTCTTGACTATGGCTGAAAGGTGAGCCGGTCTTTGTGTAGCGCATATACTTGAAGCGGAGAATCATAAACGAGGGGCTTAGCTGCCACCCGTTTAACTCTGTCTAAGACTCATTAGGAAGATGGATTGCCTCTCCGCTTCTGTTTTGTGCAAGTCTCGATTTATTAGGCGTGTTTTCCGCAATTCCAACGAGATGTTCTCGTAAATTTAGTTTACACGAATTCAGTAGTCATGGATGATAGTCAACCTATTTCAGCTAACGATAGTTTCGGACCCAAAATTGAATGGGAAGTCCAAAACAACACTTATGATTTGTATTCTGTCATCCATGTAGTTCTCCAGGATGTGGAGTAAGTGCGCGGTGGCGTTGAAAAGAAACTTCAGCTTGAAGAACCTATTCAACGTCAGACGTTGAGATGACCCAACGATCACGCGGGAGCAGATATTCTAACCACAGCTGGTGGTTTCTGTGTGAGGGTTTGAATGCGTTTTCCGGCAAAATCGTCCGTTCCTCTGGCAACCATAACAATAAACCAGACTCAAATTCACGGAGCTAATCAAGATTCTTTAAACTCACTTTCTGGGCAGTTCTGCTCTCAATAGGTAACTGTGAGTGTCATGCCAAGCTGTCGATTTGGGTGGGACATTTCCACAATGTTTTGAATTCGAAACCCACGACGGATTATCCATGATTTCCTTGGCGCTTGTGAGAAATGCTTACTAAATACTCTACTAGTGTAGAGAAAAACGGTATTTTATCGGTCAAACCTACAGCACAATTACGCATGTTGGTGTGGTACCCTCAAATTCACAGAGAGATTGGATCTTAGAGTGCTGCGACGGATTGCGATCTTCACTATCTGAGTGAACTGTACTATCGTAGTAATGGACTAATCTGCGTGGAAGGCGACGAATTGTATCAGTTTAATCGCTGCTTGGAAGATGTACTTTTCATTTGATGTAACGAGGCTCTGTTAGACGAGACGTATTATCTAATTTCATTCCAACCATACTCCCCCCATTTTTTACACGGAAAGTCGACACCAAGAATTCGACACCAAGAGTACTCTACCGTAAACCTCCCCAGAGAGGACAATACCAAAACTTCCCTCTTTTCTGTCCGGTAGAATGCAATGGTGCGCACTGTGTCTACGCGCCTTTCCACAAAGATAGTTTGGATCCGCCGAGCAACCAGGAGAAGCTTTGCTGAGGCCCAAAATCCCACACTAAAGAAGGACGGATCTACAAGCAACCGATTAAAACTGGCCCGTGACATCCAAGAAATGCATCAATTTTTGGACATTCCTAGGCTTCAGTTGAGACCTGAAACACTGTCCACTAAGTTAGTTAGTTAATTGGTTGTTTATTCATCCAGTTGGTTAGTTACTTACTTTTTTACCTCCCCCCTTTGCTTACACAAATGGGTATGACCAACTGGTGTTTGCCCTTCCCAACTTGGTTTACCTTGACGATGTTTTTCCAGTCGTCATCACTAACATTTGTTCAAATTCACGGTGTTCAGGTGTGAGCCTAGACAACCAACGAACCCTTGGCAGCGCACACCCGTCTCCGAAAATGCTGTCAAGGACAAAACCAGTTACAATCCATGCAGGCACCAATTCAAAACTTCCAGGTTGGGTGGGAACGAAACCAGAAGAAAACACACAGGTACACTTTCTCCCGTCCAGGCGTGTGCATCAACCCAGGGGATCCACGGAACACATCACAGGACACCGAGAGTCGTCTGTTGATGTGGATTCAAACTCTGAAAAACTACCCTTGCCTCGACTACCGACAAACAAAGAAGTAACGACAGCGCACGTGGAGAAAGCGAATCTTATGCAACGGAGAAAACCACATGTACAGAGGCGATTACCACAACAGGTAGGTGACTGAACTTGTTCACAGCTCTGATCGCCGGTTGGCGGTTTTAAGGAGCAGACGGAAATGCCTTTAATTGATGAGTATGGTTGAATGCGCGCTCTCAAGACCGATTCCAACCTGTTGGAAGAGCGTATATTCTTAAATTACGTATATGAAACTTTGTGGTTCTCTGGCACCGTAACCTTTATGTGTAAACATCCTCAGCTTAACACTTTCTCAGTTTTACTCTTGTTCTTCGCCTTAATGCAGTTTATTAAACCAGTAAGTAGTCAGTCCAGAGTTGTGCTCACTCATTTCTAACGTGAAAAATACTCTAAGGGAACTCAAGTCCCGGGTGGATTTGGTTACGCAAGATGCGTTTGAAAAGTTTACCTATCGTGCCTAAACCAGTCCACTCCGTTGTTCAATCACGTGACGGAACATCCGTGAGACTCATGGAAGTACAAAGCCCATCACTCAATGTTTCAAAATCTCTCGTTTTAATCAACATGCCTTAGGAAGAAGAGTCAATGGGAGCCGGTCGGCTTCCTTATCGACCGACACTTATCGATCAGACCTGACCAAATTACACTCATAGCTATGTGACTGCAAGTTAACCTATAGTCCGGAGATTGTTGTGTTAGTCCATCCGATTTGGGAACCACAGAGGGGCTTTCGTCAACTTGCGTAGGCGTGACATCAGCTTCTCTGCCAAGGGTCGAGTTTGCAATGCTGCGGTGCGCTCCACAGTACTATACGGATCAGAAACCTGGTCGTTGTGCACTGAGAACGTCAAACGACTTTCAGTGTTTGACCATCGATGTTTTCAGATCATTGCCCGGATAAGCAATGCTGAAGTACGTCGAATAGTATTCGGGAGAAATAACACAACCCCGATAGATGAACTGATCACACTGCATAGGTTGCGCTGGCTTGGCCACGTACTGCGTGTGCCAGTCGACCGAATTCCTCGAAGGGCTTTTACGGACAACCACGTGACGAACCAGAGGATGTTCAAAAAATGACTTGACTTACCAGCAAACTCAGCTGCGCTGATCATCGCCGTCTTCATGGATGGGGACATCGAGACGGGCCACATCCATGGTTGAAGACATTATCAGACATGGCCCAGTCGCGCACTCAATAGCGCTCATGCATCCAAGCTATTTCCTTCAGTGCATTGCTCCCTTCCAGATCCCCCACTTAACAGTTCACTGACAGGGCGTACCTACGCACTAATTTATCAGCTCCCACGTCCGATGTGGAGCTACCTACCCCATCTTCCCGAATCATCGGTGAACGAAACTCACATGTCCTCTCCGCCGTTGTTATGGAATTAGGATCTCAATCTCAGACAAACAGCCAATGAGCTGTCACCTTGACTATAAGGCCTGATTTCACCGTTCCACTTTCAATAAAATACGGTCACAGCAAGATAGTGAAAAGAACATCCCTAGCAGGGTCACGTGGAGAGCATTTCAGTGAACACAAAATGCCAAGCAAAGAGACAGCAAATGGTCGTCAGCCTACAGCTGAACACAGGTTACCTCGGGTATCCCATCTGCATTACGCCATATTGGGTTTTACTGATGTTTCCCACAGGCAAGAATCTTTCAGATGGTTAGACGTATATGTGTTGTCAAAGAGACTTTGGTGGGACTTGTTTTTGGAGCGTAGTTCAAAACGGGAAAGATAATGCGAACCAATGCAAACACTTCGTTAAAGGAGGTTTTTCTCCCCAGAATCAGAATTTTTCAATTATTCGTTCGTAGGTAAGAAAACGTTTTCAATGTATTCAGTCGGTTGTCGTAGCTACCACTAGCACTCACATGTCATCGTGATTCAATTGCATGATAAGGTGATCACTGCTCAGTTTTTCTTCCCTTTCTTTTTTGATGCGAGCCTTTTCGCAACCAATTCCTTGACGTCAGAAACGAGTTGAGTACACATGGATTTTCCACCATCTTATCCAACAGGCTTCCCTGATCCGAATGCATTGTCGAAAAAAATTGATTGAGTGCATTAGCTATACTTTCCAGGAGCAAACAGATCTAGTTCACGGTTGTTTAGTTGTGAGAAGGGACTGCTCCTAGCTGATGAGCACTAAGAAGGGCGAAACCGGTTGTGGGCTGTCGAAGAGTTTTCAGCAACCTTGTGAGTAGTTTCCTATATGAAAATATGCTGCGATATCTCGATTATCGTGCCAAATGAAACATGATCCGGTCTGTGTGCAGCACATTCAGTTGTAGAATATCATAAACGAGAGATTCCGTTGAGCTTCTCGTGAAAACCAAATTGATTTGCAAATGAGTGTATTTCTCGAAAACATTCCAATGTTGGTTCAAGTAGAACATAAGGTTGATGGAAACGCGGGGACTGCGCCTACCTGATGAGGCCCACGAAGGACGAAACCGCTCGTGGGCCTTTGCATAGTCTTCGGCAACCTTGTGAGTATTTTCCCTTATGAAAATAGGGTACTTACACCGTTTAAAACTTGGTCCACTTAGGGTTAGAAAAGTTAATGTGTGTGGCGCTCATTCTAAGTGCCTTTCGGCAGTAGATTTAATCCCAAGAACGACGGAAAACGGTATTTTCAGGTGTACTTTTAGGGTAGGATTCTACGGTATGATTCGTTTGCCTTCCGTTCTTACTTGATAAAGGTTAACCTCCATATATAAGGGTGGATGACAAGAATAGTAAAGGAAAGAATTTTCGGAAAGATGCGGTATTGCTCTTCGAACGTCCCGGAATACAAGACCTGAGCAGTTTACGGTCACAATTGTTCAGACTGCACCAGTTTCCACAAAAGACTTTAGCCAGCAACATATTTTCATGAGGAAAACTACTCACAAGGTTGCTGGAAACCCTTCGACAGCCCACGACCGGTTTCGCCCTTCCATTTCGGGCTCATCAGGTAGGCGCAGTCTCCGAGTTTCCATCAACATAATGTTCTACTTGAACCCAAATTGGACTGTTTTCGAGACACACACTCATTTGCAAATCAATTTGGTTAGCCAGCACTTGCGTCGTTCTAGAAAAAACGGCCTCTTTGAATGGGAGTAATCTGTGGACCCTCAGTACCAACAGATCAACTTCCGAAATCAAGCGTCGAACGAGTACGGAGTTCTTCTGCCCTATGGCAGGTGAAGAGTACTTCGATCAGTCGAGGGAGTACGCCAGCACCCCATTCGAACGTATGTTCCCCACCCAATCAGAATGCAGAAACCAACGGAGTCCAGGTTTCAGCTCACATACCTTACTAGTGAGGGGCGCACGTTATGGTCCTAGTCAAACAGAGCACTCGGGTACACGTATGACACGGATACTTCTAATGAAACATGCGAGTAGTATGCGGTCTTCCAGTAACTCCGCCCCGCGTCTAATGAAATGGTTTATAACGGAACCTGCGGAAATCCTTCGTAGCATTCGCTAACGATTGCCTCTCCATCCCACTCTGATCCTTGCAAGGAGGGATCTCACACTGGTTGGTTACACTGACGTTGGTGATAACTGGGATGCGCACAGACTTGTTTTTTTTCGAATTCCACTTTTTGTCGTTCACCATGGTGTTTTGCATTCCGCAGCCACCCGTGAGTATTGAAAATGGAAATTCTCGGAGAGCGGCGGCGAACCAAAACGGATACCCTTCGTCCAAACAAACTTACGTGACTAGTCTGGAGCGAGTGAATTCACAAAGGGACCTCTGCCGGCCAAGCAGTCCTCATTTTAAAGGCAATCAGAAGCCATCAGCTAGCAAAAATCGATCAACCGTATCCCGTGTTGGTGTCTCGCTGTTTATCCCTCCTGAAAGAGCGATTCGTTATCCAACCCTCACACACGATGGGTATCGCAGCATGAATCCCATCCGTGTGATTAGTTCAAAAGAAAGCATCGTTTGGGACAATTTGACTCGCGCTGATCTGGAGCGAATCTACCGGCTCAAAGAGGTAAATTGAATGATTGTCTTTGCGGTTTCCCATTCAAAATAAATTTGTTCAACCATTCACCAATCTCTTTTCCATCAACGAACGAAACAGATTTTGGAAACCGGTTTAAACTGTCAACTACCCAGGAGACCAGAAGAACTGGCGATCGTCCTACGCTCCGGAGTTCATCTTGCTGATTGGCTAAGCAGGATGCTTGGACCGACATCAACTATCAGGGTAGGTGTTCAGTTTACCGACCAAAAAAACCGCCTTCCTTTAGACTTATCCTATTTGAGGAACAGTTAATTGTTCATATATGAAGCCCTTCAGCTCAAAGTGGGGAGGTAGGATGTTTCCTACAAAGGACCAAGTGACCTTGATTTTGAGGTTGACAATATGGCCTTGCACCTTCACAGTGCAAAGACATGCTTCGGAACGTGCCATGTGCGAACATATTCCTTACAATTCAAGGAGAATCACTGGAAATTGTGAAAAAAAACTTTCCATACCTCGGTAGTTGTATTTGCTCTGACGCAAGTGTGTCTGATGAAGTCAGTGCAAGAATCTCAAAGGCTCGAATCACGTTTGCTAATTTGCGTCACTTGTGGAGTCAAAAAAGCATCTCACTGGATCTTGAGGGTCATGCGTACCAGGCTACAGTAAGAGCTATGTATGGGTGGGAGACATGGCCTCTTCGGGTAGATGATGTGAGGCGTCTTCAGGTTTTCGACCACCGATGCCTCAGAAGCGTGGCTGGTTATGGATGGCATCAGCGTGCTAGTGACGAGTTGATTAGAAAACGGGTATTTGATTGTGCTGCAGGCACCTCAATCCGGAAAACTTCCAGCATAATCGACTACGATGGCTGGGTCATGTGTTACGCATGACGAAACACCGTCTACCGGGACGAGTGTTGTTTTCCGTGCCTTCTTCAGGATGGTGCCAACCGCGAGGTGGACAGCACATGATTCAGCAGAAAGGCGTGAAAGAGATCGCGAAGAGTTTGGGCGTTGTAGGCCTTCCAGGATGGGGTCCACGTGACCCCATCTGTTCTTGGCTGGAGACGTTTCAAGAAATGGCGGCTACTCGATGTTAGTGGTGTTCGTGCTGTCAGTTCCTTCCAAGATCCAGAAGGTGTAGGGACCTCAGCATGCTTGACATAGGTCTGCACTAGTTCCTCTCCCTCACCCACTCTTTTTCTCTTNGCTAGACCAACCTTATGGTTGTACGGCATTGAAGCATCAGTGCCAATACTGCTGTTGCTGTCTTTGGTGATGATGATGACTATGGCCGGAATGAATGATTAAGTTATCATTCACATAATTGTAAATTGATATATGTTTACAGATTCCCTAACCCCAGAGGGATTGCAAGATGCCTCCCTCAGGCCTTCCATAGATTTGTATGTCTATCTTATAGCTGCTTGTTGAACAACAGCTGTGACATTATCTATGACCTTGGAACAATTCACCATACACTGATGACATTGCCGTAGTGGTAAATTACTTGCATTCAGAGGAAATGACTTGAGAGTGATGACCATTAGTTTCTACAGGAGGGACCACCGAATACATACAGGAAGAGAGTGGAATGTTGTCAACGGCACAAGTGGTTAGAGCACGGATTTACTGACCGGAAAGTCCGTGGTTCCAACCCGACTTCTGCCTCTCGACTTCCCCAATCTAGGCTCGGGCAACCTGACAGGTGGCGTGGCGGCTGAGCACCAAAATGGTGCTACAGATGAACCATTTTTTTCAATTGAGTTACCGCAGACGCCCCCGAGAGTAACACTTGAGAAGCCCAGCCTCACCAGTGTGTCTTTTGTGTGACGGCGTGGAACTTGACATCCCTGAGATAGCTAAACTCCTTGATTTTCAACGTAGATAAACAAATTCTGGAAGTTTTAAACTAAAAGCCTCGCTCACCTATTAACAGTGAAAATTTATAGAGGTGAGAGTCAGTACCTGCGAGATGGCTTAGTAGTTAGAGCGCCGACTTGCTGATCGGAATGTTGTGGTTCGAACCCGACCTCTGCACCTCGACTTCCGCAGTCTAGGCTTAGGCAACTTGGCAGTATCCTGGCCATCGTGTCTCCTTCGAGTGGCGTGGCGGCTAGGCACCAGAAGGGTGTTCCCGCTGAATTATGCTCACATAATAACCAATCAGCGACGAAGTATTTCTTGCGCTTTCGACAAAACTGCTCTGGTCAGTGAACAAATCAATGACCACGAACTACACTTATTTGCATAACAATTAGGTTTTCATGGGAGATTCAGGTGAATCTCTGGTCTATGATATTCTTTTGCTAAATGTGCTGCATAAAGGCCGCCTCATGTTTCATTTAATACGATATTCGAGATATTACAACATACTTTATTCAAGGAAACTACTCATAAGTTTCCAAGCAGAACATGCGTTTGATGGAACCTCGAAGACTGCATCTATCTGATGGCGCCTCATGGATTGGAATAGCACCGACCTGCCGTGAGAAAAAGCGTGAAATTTGTTGAAACATCATAGCATTGGTTACTATCACGCTCATTTGATTATTTTTATCTAACTGTGCTGAAATTCTCCATTCTGTGACTCATCCAGCTGGCGGTTGGTTAGAGGCTGAAGTCGCTAGATCAAAATTGTGATTCTTGCTCCGAAAAATTCCGAGAACAAAGCTCCTGAAAAATGAATACCTACAAAACTAGATCAACTTGGTGTGGCTGCGTCCACAGGTCTTGAAGGGGATAAGCGACACTTTGATCCTGAGTTTTCTTGACGAAATGCTCCTCAATTCTTCGACAGCCCATGACCAGTTTCGCCCTCCCCGAGGTTCATCAGAGAGGTCATGCTCATGTTCCACGTGAACCGAAATTGTACGCAATACCACGAACTACACTCATTTCCACACTTGTTCGGTTTTAACAGGGGACTCGACTGAATCCCAGTTCCGATCTCTTGCTATGATGTTCTCCAAGTGACTGTACTTCATGCCTCGTGCTTCGGTTTGCATGCTATTTACAAATGACTTTTATGTTGGACTACAGCAAGTCCCTTCAATTTGATCAAGGGAGACAGCTGTCTTTTAGCTTACATGAGTAGTCTTCAGGACAAGTGAAAACTTTTCACCCTTGTGACACCGTAGTTGGACCATTGGCGGGAAAATGTTCGGTTAGAACTTCTGTCCGATTCAGTCTAGGTTTAGATATCTTCCTCTTTAGAGAGCGCACTCAGTGATGAGTAGCGCTCAGAAAAGACCAGCTCTGACTGGACTATTCCAAGGGTGAACACAGCGCAGGAAACCAATAGTGATCGGTTTTTCGGGGTGATCTTTCTTTAGGTGAAGTTATCGATTACCCACAGAACACAATTTGACTTGCTCCTTGTTCACCCTCCTTTGAGTAGAACTCCCAGGTGTGGAAGACAAACCAATCCGTAAATTTGACCATCTCTTTAAGCGAGTCACAAAAATCCAAGGATAAAGCTTCAAAAAAGTTTGAAAAGCTTCGGTTAGCCAAACAACTCTAATTCTGGTCAGTTATGCATAGCATGTGATTTCGCAAAACATGAGCCCCGCTGTGAAACAGAATATGTCACACATGGTCAGTGGTATTTGCAGCCAACAGATGCCATGTTTTGACACCGTTTTTCTTTCACAGCCTCATCTTCTGTGTACTCAGGATTAGGTGAGCTGTAACCGAACTCTAATCACATGGTCTTACGCCAGAGATCGCACGTAGCCTACCACATTCTTTGCTCGTTCCAGGCAAGATAACGACGCTTATCGAGACTCATTCTGTATTTGACACGTGCTATTGTCGGGTACAGCCAGCAAGGACAGTTAGTCCAGACCAACACTTTAGTAAGTTCTTCGTAAAACTTACTTACTTACTGTCTCAGCTGGCGCGTTCTCCAGGGAAAATGCACCTGTGTTTTACGCTTTACATCGACAACTATGCGCTGGTGTGACAGCCTCTGATTTAACTACAACCACTGTGCTCAAACGAGACGTCCGGAACCACTGAATAGATTCGAATCACATTTAAGGCTATCGAGCGAATCAGTCTTTAGGTTTCGGAGAACTACACAAGGTGGGAGACAGATTTATTAACAGAGTTCTCGTGGTGACATTCAAGAAGTAAGCACCTGACTAACCGACTACGATTTTGGAAAAAAATCAATAACTATATCCCGTAGATAGTGAACAGCTTTGACAGGGATTTATTGACAGGCAAAGTTCAGTTAGGGAGGGAGACGTCTTGTGAAGGAAATTGTGTTGTGCTGTACACCAAGGAGTTTGTTCAGTTTGTAAGAGTTGATTGGTGAAAAGTAGACCGTTGTGGTAAATTGCGGTGTATGTATGTATGTATGTATGTATGTATGTATGTATGTATGTATGTATGTATGTATGTATGTATGTATGTATGTATGTATGTATGTATGTAAGTATGTATGTGTATGTATGTATGTATGTATGTATGTTTGTATGTATGTATGTATGTATGTATGTTTGTATGTATGTATGTATGTATGTATGTTTGTATGTATGTATGTATGTATGTATGTGTGTGTGTGTGTGATCTCCGAAGCTCGAATCATTACACACTCGTTCCCCTCCCACCGAGAAATCTAAATCTTGGGGACATGGACATGCATATAGTCGGCCAGTCTTTCAGCACAACAATGAGTTAGGTATTGTGGACCACCGTCTCCTAAACGCCTTCTAAATACCGTTAACCCCAGTCGGGATAGCCGCTTGATAGCCGCTTAGCCAAACCAGAAAGCCAATGAACGTGCGAATCAGCTGATCTATTGATCACTGAAGCTTAGAGGCGTCATGTGCAGCCGAAAACGGGCTGTTTATAAAGCTCATGTGGAAAGTTCTGGGCGGGCTAAAAAGTGACACTGAACTAGAACTCCTCTGTCAAGGGCAGTTGAAGAACTACCAACTAATACTGTCCGAACGGAAACGGTTATTTCATTGGAAGTCCGTTTACGTTCGGAGCTAAAAGTGTGAACAACCCACGTCCCTCGATAGAAATGTATCCTAATTTGGTTGAAAAAGAGAGAACGAGTTATGTAACCCTCCACGACCTTAACACCACTCATAGGTCTCTGAAAATCTCTGAAGACGACAACCCACGGCAGGTTTCATCCTTGTTGGGGCTTAGGAGGTAGGCACAGTTCCCGAATTTCCCTCAACCTTATATTCTACTTCACTTGGAAACATCACAAACCAAAGATTC